CCCGCCGCGCCCGCCCCCAGCCGGGGGGGGAGTCCCCGCCTGCCGGTCCCGCCCCGTCCCGGTGCCGCCCCGTCCCGTCCCGTCCGCCCGGACTTTACCTCTCGGCCGGGCCCGCGCAGGGCCGCTCCGGGCCATGTGAGCGCGGGGCCGGGCCGCGGGGCCGCCATCGAACCGGCTCCGGCACCGCCTCGGTTCCGGCTCCAGCTCCGCTCCAGGTTCCGCCGCAGACACTGCTTTGTCACCCCCCGACTGGACTCTGTTTCTAGTCCCAGCTTTGGCTCCGGCCTCGTTCAGCCCCAGCTCCGGCATGGATCGCAGGATGGTCCTGGTGGTGCTCGATGTCCTCTGCGTGGTGGTCGGTAAGAGCCCGGCCCGGTGCCAGGTGGGGGCTCTGCAGCCCCCAGTCCTTCTCGCCCTCAGCTGGGACCCGGTACTGGCCCTGGCCCTGGTCCAGCTGTGCATGACCCCTCCCTATGCCCTCCTTTTCCGCTGTGTCCTGCCAGTCCTGCTGTGAATGACCCCCATGACCTCTGCTCCAGCTGTGCACCCCCTTGTGCTGTTCCAGCTATGAACAGTCTCCCCGCCCTCACCCCAGCCCCAGCTGCGAATCATCCCATGCTCCCATCCGGGCCGTGTCCTGCTTACAGCCCCTGTGGCCCAGGGCAGGTTCCTGTGCTCGCTGAGTGCCCACGGGCAAAGACCCCCAGGCTGGGCTGGGGCAGCAACGCGGGGCTGGGGGATCCGGAGGGCCGTGGTGGTGCCTGGGCCATGGCTGGCAGCAGCCTTTGTCCCCGGGAGGCTGCGCAGCAACCACAGGGCGTCATGGCATGACGCGGAAGCGCTTGGCCTGGCGGGCACGACATCACCCGAGATAAGGTGCAGCCGGCCGCGGCCAGGACCTCAGGGTCCTTGCGGTGTGTGATGCAGTATCCTGACCAGGGAAACTGAAGCAGAGGAAGCCCCGTTGTAGCAGCTGTGCAAAGTCCTTGGTGCTGGCAAATCCCTGTGCCCACAGTGGTGCTCAGCAGGGCTGGAGCTGGGGGGCAGCTGGGGCAAGACAGAAGAAGCCCTGGTGCATCCTGGCGACGGCTCCCCCTTGTCCCGGTTCTGCCGGGTGCCTGCCAGTGGGGACGGCTCCACACGCGGCCCCAGCATGTTGCCAGCTCCAGGCAATTTCCTGCTGCTGCCCAGGGCAGGAACATGCTACTGCCAAAATAGCCCCTCTGAGCACCTAATTAGGGTGTCCCAAAAATAAAGGCCAGGTGGTAATTCTTGCTGGAGCCACTGCATGAGGACCTGCTTCCCAGTGCCCGAGCACCAGGGGAAAGGCAGGTCCCTGTCTGTGCTTGGGCCTCTGGTCTCTCTTGCGTAGGCGTCTTTTATTTTTATGGGAGCTTTTTTGAAGGACAAAATTACCCAGGATGAGACGGGTGTCTAATTTGAGCTGCAAAGTAAGCATTTGAGGTATTTTCAGCACTTTCCAAAAGCACATGGGTCTCCTGGCCACCCCTGCACCATGGCTGGACGAGGCCGTGCGCCTCCCCCTGCCCTCCTGGGGCTCCGGGTCTGGAGCAGCACAGGAGCTGGGACAGGGAAGGGGCCAGGCTGCAGGCGCAGGTTGGCCCAGGAGACGGCTAAACAAGGGCAGGCGGAAATAATTTCCCAGCGGAACCGGGAAGGAGTCCAGCTTAAGGTGGACTGCGGGAGGCAGCAGCGCTCCCAGGAGTGGTGCCGGTCTGCAGTGACTGATCCCTGAGTTCTGGCCCTCGGCCTCCCCTGGCGCCGCGCAGCTCTGGCAGCGTCGAGCTGAGGAAGCAGGAGCAGGAACGGGATGGGCTGGGCAGCAGTGCGGTTCCGTGCAGCCCCATAGGTGCCTGCTGCGCTGGGAGGAGAGGCCTCAGCCCTTTCCCTGCCTGCGCCTGTCTCGCCCTCTCTCCCTGTATCTGGCTGCCACAGGCAGCTGCCAGCGCCCGATAGCTCCCCGCTAATCGGAACACGCTGTGGCGTGAATGCTCCTGCTCCCCGGCATCGCAGAGCATCACTGGAGCATCCCACAGGGATCCCAGCGCTGCCCTTCTCTGCCCTGCAGCCTCGCTGCCCTTCGTCATCCTCACAGCGGTCAACTCCCCGTACAAGCGGGGCTTCTACTGCAGCGATGACTCCATCCGCTACCCCTACAAGCCTGACACCATCACCCACGGCCTCATGGCCAGCGTCACTATCACCTGCACCGTCCTCATTGTAAGCAAGTGCCATCCTGGCCCCATGTGGCTCCCTCCTGACCGGGCTCTCATGGCCACCCTGGTGCTGCAGAGCCAAGTACTGGAGCATCCTGTTGCCCGCAGGTCACCGTGGGGGAGGCTTACCTGGTCTACACAGAGCGGCTCTACTCCAAGTCGGAGTACAACAACTACCTGGCCGCCCTCTACAAGGTGCTGGGGACCTTCCTCTTTGGGGCAGCTGTGAGCCAGTCGCTCACTGACCTGGCCAAGTACATGATCGGCCGCCTGCGGCCCAACTTCCTGGCCGTCTGCAACCCTGACTGGTCCAGGGTGAACTGCTCTGTCTATGTGCAGCTGGAGGGCATCTGCCGTGGCGCCGGCAGGAACGTCACCGAGTCCAGGCAAGTCACGGGGCCACCCAGGCGCGGGGGCTGCGGGGCTGCCGGCGCCGGCCCGGCCTGACGCCCGCTTTCCCCGCAGGCTCTCCTTCTACTCGGGGCACTCCTCCTTCGGCATGTACTGCATGGTGTTCCTGGCGGTGAGTGTGGGGCAGGGGGACGCGGGGGCGCGGGCCTGGCGGTGCCGCTCATGGTGCTGCCACTGCCCAGCTCTATGTGCAGGCCCGTCTGGTGTGGAAGGGGGCCCGCCTGCTGCGCCCCACCATCCAGTTCTTCCTCATCGCCTTCGCCATCTACGTGGGCTACACTCGCGTCTCCGACTACACGCACCACTGGAGCGACGTGCTGGCGGGGCTCCTCCCGGGAGCCCCCATTGCCGTCCTCATTGTAAGTGTCCCCCCCTGTACATGGGGCTGCATGAGCTGCATGTGCTGCATGGGGCTGCAGGGCATTACAGAGTGCAGCACAGGACCAGCGCCCTCCGCCCTGCAGGGCCCTGGGCCCGGGGCTGGCTGTAGGTCCATGTGGGTGCCATGGTGGCACGAGTGCTCCCCAGCCCTCTCTTCCAGGTCCGCTACGTCTCTGACTTCTTCAAGCACCGTCCTCCGCTACAGTGCGAGGAGAAGGATGCCGAGCGCAAGCCCAGCCTCCCACTCGCCATGAGCGACCCTGACCGCAATCACTACAACTGCCGGGGCACCCCGTGAGCAGGTCCCTGCACGGGTCCCCACAGCTCACGGGGACGTGCAGATGGACTGCAGTACCGTCCCACGGCATCACTGGCCTCCGCAGCTGCTGTCCTTGGCTCCCTGCGTGCCTGGTCCCATTCCCAGTCCCCCGCATCCCAGGACAGGGCTCCCTGTCCTGGTGGGCGCTGGGAGGGGTGCCCTGTTCCCAGGCCGTGTTGCCCGCTCCCCATCTGGCCCTGCGCCCCTTCGTGGGGCTGGATGAGGGGCAGGAGGCCGCGAGGGCTGCAGCATCGAGCAGAGGCTGCCCAAGTAGAGCATGTCCTGGGTAGTGTCCCACGCTGGGGGGTGGCCATTGGGCTGACAGGACTTTTTTGGAAAGGATTAAAGCAAGGCCGAGTTCTGCTCTGCTTCCCATTGCCTTTAAAAGCGCTGCCAGCTGCAGCGGCTGCGCCCTTCCCTCCCCCTCGCCACCGGGAAACGTCCCTGGGGCCGGAGGGACACGAGAAGCGGAGCCCACGGCTCCTGCGGGAGGTGGGAAGGGGCCCTGGGCTGCCCCGGCCCCCGCCGTGGCTGCTCCACCCCCTCCTGCCTCCTGTCGAGCTACGTGCATTTTCGTAACGACTTTTTTTTATATATATAAAGTTTTAAAATTAGATCATCTTTGAGGAATGTCTGTGTTGGAGCTCTTTTCTTGCCCCAGGATGTGCCGGACCTGGAGCAGACGGGATCAAGGCCGAGATTCCCCCGTGCAGGGAAGGGCCTGGAGCCCGCGGGCAGTGAGCTCTGGGTGGCTGCAGCGGCCTCTCCGGCGCGGGGGGAGAATCTCCTGGAGAAAAAA